TTGATTTTCTACTTTCCTACAAATTGTTTAGTAGTGCTTATACTTTCTTTTTGTACCTACCCTGCAGGAAATGGATCTAACTATAAGCTAACTTTAAGTTGATTAGGAAGGAGCTAAAAGTCACTTATTATCTGTATATTTTCTTTGACGAAAGCTAACTATATTTCTATGGCGATGGCCGCTTTTGAGCGCAGTCGCTACACTGAGTGTCGTTGCGCGGTACTTAGGACGTCTAGAAAAGGTAGAAGTTATTGCGAAGCTTAGAGTTATAAAGCTCACGGAATCTGTGAGACGTGTGTATGTCGGGTGGTAAAGGGTTAATCATTTATCTTAACCCAAAATATTGGACGACTAAAACATATAGAGTCCCAAAGAAATTCCGCCATATTATATGCGATTCNTTAACTGTTTATGGGGAGTTATTGCTGGTGACTCGAGTAATTGGGAGGCTCGTTGCGTTTATATTTCGACTATCAGGACAACGGGGTTGGCCAGTTTTTGCAAGTGCAACGCCATCATGCAGTCAATGTTTTCACGCTGAAGCTGGAACTCCATAGGCAAGCGTATGCGTGCGTATACGTATGCGTGCGTATACGTATGCGTGCGTTTCACAGTTGAGTTGTATTTATACACATGTTCTTATGGGATGAACTCCATATGTACGCGCGTAAACGCAGAGAACGGACAAAAATTCGAGCATGAATTCGAATGCGCACAAGGTTAGATTTTCTCAACTTTCATGCATTTGCTTGCGTAGACGACCAACTTTAAGGTGATTACACTACACGTTTGGTAGAGAATTTTTTCGGCTTGGTAAGAATTTTCTTAATAAATATGTATTAAAGTGTGTATGTATGATGCATCAACTTGTCGAAATGACAACTGTCAAACGCTTGTAAACGGACACTACGGTGTTGCTCCGTTTTTATGCACATAAGCGCATGACAACGGATCTATGGAGTTCTGGCTTAAAGCAACCTAAAGCATTAAGCCTAGAGAATGTGAACACGTTGGGTTGTCTATTTTTTTCCTGCCCTACCTATCGGGTGGCCAGGTATGAACAGGTAGGTAATGCTAGTAATGCATGCTTTCGATTGGTATATATGTATGTAATTTATTCATTAAACAAATGGGTGAAAAATTAAAAAAATAATAATAATTTTTAAATAATTATATAAAAATATCCTGGCCAAGATTTTTGCAGCCAATCCACTCTCGAAATATTTCCTAACACGTAAATTTCAGATAAAATAGATTTAATCCATTAAACAGATGAGTGAAAGTCGCCATCGAAATTAACTACTTTTGAATGCAGTCGCGACACTGAGAGTCGTTGCGCGGTACTTAGGACGCCTAGAAAAGGTAGAAGTTATTGCGAAGCTTAGAGTTATAAAGCTCACGGAATCTGTGAGACGTGTGTATGTCGGGTGGTAAAGGGTTAATCATTTATCTGAACCCACAATATTGGACCACTAAAACATATAGAGTCCCAAAGAAATTCCGCCATATTATATGCGATTCTACGTACCGGAATGACTCGGGTTTTACCCGACCAAGGGCTGGTGTTTCGGCGATCTAACCCGTTTAGGTCGGCGAAATCCATCAAACTTAAACTACACAAGCGGCAACCGTTGAAGTAACCAACTCATGTTGCTTCGACTTGTCCCAACACACACTGTAATAAAAATTTTCAAACACTTGAGAAAATTTTATTTTTCATCTTCATTCTCAGCATTGTTATACCCGAGCGCACATGTGCCCAAGGGTATTATAATTTCGTTCACATAACGGTTGTTTGTAACAGCCAAAACGAAATGTACACATAATGATCAGAATGAAAAGAGAAGTCGATTAAGCCATGTTTGTCAGTCCGTCTGTCCGTCCGTCCGTGTACACGACAACTCGAGTAAAAATTGAGATATCCAAACGAAATTCGGTACGTGGATTTCCCTTTAACCGAGGTAGGTTGTCATTGAAAATAGGCGAAATCGGACTGTAACCACGCCCATTTCCCATATAACGGTATTTTCGAAAAGTGCAAAAACTGCGATGTTTCAGTAAATATTGGATCCAAATTGTTTAAAATTAGTATGGGAAGCAAAACTTTGGTAGAAAATAGTATTAATAAGACATTTTTGGAAAACGGGTGCGACCACGCCCACTTATGTATGATAAAATGCTGTATCTCATTAGCCGCTTCACCAATCCGTACCAAACTCGGTGTGCGCCTTGCCTAGGGCCTAGCTAAGAAATCTGTTGAAAATCTTCGAAATCGGGCAATAACCACGCCCACCTCTCATATAACGGTAATTTACAAAATCGATGATTGCAATAACAACTTGGCAGGAAATTATAATATTATAAGTTTTTGGATAATGGGCGTGGCGCCGCCCACTTATGACTACAAATGTGCATCCCGGTAACCGCTTTATCAATTTCCACTAAACTCGGTGCACTCAATAATCTTAGCACAAGAAAGAAATTCGATGAAAGTTATTCAAATCGAACTAAAATTACACCCACTTCCCGTATAACGGTAAATTTCAGACATCCGAAAACTCCGATATTTCAATAACTGAGGACGCTAATTTACCCCAAGTTAATAGTTACAACAATCTCTTAACAATAAATAAGACTGCTATAGACTTTTAGGAATTGGGTGTGGCACCGCCCACTTTATGGCTACACGGTGTATCTCGGTAACCACTTTATAGATTTCTACCAAACTTGGTTCAATTATTTCATTAAGTCTAAATCAGATTATTATCGAAAATGTTTGAAATCGGGAAACCCCGTGCTTATCATGCAAATGTAGTTTAGAGAAAGTTGAAACGACGATATTCAATACCTGCGCCGGGTATATAAAGTTTGGTTTCGTCCGAACTTTACTTGTATATTATATAGATGATATATTGTGCATTCAATTTTGTTTGGAAAGGCCCCAAAGTTCAGCATTTTCATGCAATTTTTCACAAAGTGGTCAAAATTGCCTATAATTCCGTGGGCCATTTAATATATTTTAATGGAACTTGATAATGCCCCGATGTCAAATATGGTTAACATATTTTTAAACCTTCCCTACTTTTAAAGTTATTCTAGTTTATTCCACGTCAAATTACAATTTTCTAAGAATTCAGCAGTTAAATTTTATCCAAGTAAATTTAGATCAAAATGGTACCAGAAAAAAAATTTAGTAGCGAACTTTTGATGCAGTTTAGCTCAATTTGACATGTAGATCATGGATCCACAGTCTCGCTCCTAAACTTCATACCGGCACATCTTGGATTTTAAGTTTTTTTTTGTGTTTTTGCGATTTGCAAGTTTATTTTGCATTTTTCGTAAAAAGACGGTTGTAGAGAATTTAATTTCCCAATTTTTTTTTTATACAAACATTAAAAAAACTCATTTTTTATTTTAAATAATTAGCAAAAAGTGCGAAAAAATTTTGCATTGTCACGGCTTTCGCACTTTTTCAACAATTTCTGATAAAAATGCGTAGCATATTCAAATGCCAAAGTTGTAGGTTGGTTTCTCCGGTGGCACAAAATTTGTAAGGCGAAATCTAATTTACGGCTAGTTTAGATGCCACATTTTAGACACCATCTTGAATTCTCAAAAGGCCTCACGGCATTTTTCCAAAAAAACTCAACAACTTTAAAAGATATAGAGGTTTAAAATACGGTAGCTATTTTTGGCACCGGGGACAAACCTCCATCAAGTGCCATTAAAATATATTAAATTTCCCGCTGACTTATAAGCAAATATTGGCAGCTTTGTGAAAAATCGCATGTATTCGCTGAACTTTAGGGTCTTTGAGGCATGTCTTTCCGTTATCCGATTTTAAAAATTTTTCGCAGACCTCGTTTCTATGACCAAATGAACGTGCACGTTGCAAAACACTAAATAGGGGAGCGAAAGGTATTATAGACCACATAAGTAACAATTTCTATAGAAAAGACGGAAATCTGAATTTTGACTAATTTTTTAACGTTTAACACAGCCCTACAAAAATATAAAAAAAATTTGGTACGGCGAATGTTAAAGCTATTTTTGATAAATTTTCTGTGTTGATTACGAATTCGTAAGCATAAAGTTTCCATCAGCTCCAGATTTTGAAAAAAAGAAGTCAAGGTGTGAAAAAATCGCGGTTTTTTTCAATATTTTAGTAGCTCTAGCAGAGAAACTAAAGGTGATAGAACCTTCCTGGCTTGAATTAAAGCTAGATCTCTCGGCTACTATCTCTGTAAAGAGATCTTAAATATGTGAGATCTTAAAATATTTTTTACCATTATTATCTTAAACTAAATAATGGCAAATTTGTATGCATATTTCCCTCCACAGTGGTGTTGAAAACCCCAAACCCCCCCTTGCGGCCGGGCCTAGTATATAGGTATGTATGCAAATGTATTACTGAAGCCACTGTCTATGCCCCTTAATGAATTTTCTATACTTTTCCTAAACTTAAGTAAGCTTCACATTGAGCGTCGCCAACTCTGTTGAAAGGAATTCTCTAAAAAACCAGAATCTATGTAAATGCCAATTAACGTCACTGGCAATTGGCTACTGTTGCTGTTCAAACAATAAAAAAACAGCAAAAAATAAAAATAAACTTTACACTAAATAGTCAGGAAAACACGCAAAGGTAGCTGAAGCAAACAACAAATTGACAAAATAATTTAACCTCATTTAACCCAGTACTACCGACTAGGGTTTCTTTTATATAAAAACAGACATACATATAAGTATATGTACATACTTGCAAACAATTGTATATTAGTACTTTCGTATCTCGTTTATACGTTTGTTTAGTTTAATTAAAGATTTTTTTTCTTTTTCCATTTCACCTACAGAAATCGTTTACGCTGATATTNTACAGACATACATATACATAAGTATATGTACATACTTGCAAACAATTGTATATTAGTACTTTCGTATCTCGTTTATACGTTTGTTTAGTTTAATTAAAGATTTTTTTTCTTTTTCCATTTCACCTACAGAAATCGTTTACGCTGATATTGCAGGCGTTAGATATGTACAACACATCGTACCCAGGTAATTATGCGGCAACTATTTAAATGCCACCAAGGCACCAGTGGCTCCAAAGCACCAGCACTAGGCAAAACACTACCATACCAATGACGGCAAGCGCCTGCTTGACAACGCGATTAGCTTGCGAAAACAAGCTACTAAATGGTCGAACACAAACGAACTTAAGCTTGAAAAGTAAAAAAAAAAAACAAAGGCAAAAACAAACGAAATAGCTAAGGTCAAGAGACGAAATTGCAATTGTTGGTGTTGGTAAATGTGACGGCGTGGCGGCAATAAAAGCCACAAGCTCTCCTCGCCTGGACTGCTGCTGATGGCAGTGCCGCTGCTTACGGTTGCACTGTTGTTTTTATTGTTGCTGCTCTTGTTGTGGAATTGTGGCAATTCGACGCGTCATTTGGGAGTTTTAATTAGACAATCTAACTCAGCGCTCGCACCGACGGCGCTGGTGACAATTCTCAAATTGGCTTAACAACAACAATGGCCACAACAAGCGGCTGCTACAATAAAACTTTACAAAATGTACCGAATACGGCGAACTTTATGTGCTACTCTAAAAATGAAAAAAATAAAACCTGACTGTATAAATGCGAAAAGGAGCAAAGAACAAATAATAAACTCATACAAAAACTACCGAAACACACAGAAAGTTTAACAAAAAAAAAAACAAAACGGAAGACTTAAGCAACGAACTGCTGACAGTTGACTTGGGACTAACACAATTTCTACATTTCATTACATTTCGTTTCAATGTTTTTTATTTATTTGGGTTTCTTTGTTTTCTTCTTTTCCATGTTGTTGTTCTCGCCGCTGTTGTAACCAATGTTATANTGACTTGGGACTAACACAATTTCTACATTTCATAACATTTCGTTTCAATGTTTTTTATTTATTTGGGTTTATTTGTTTTCTTCTTTTCCATGTTGTTGTTCTCGCCGCTGTTGTAACCAATGTTATATGCCTCATTTCAATACGCTTGTTTGCTCGACTGTTGGTTCGCTGGTGGCCTCGTTGGTGGTTTGCCTGCTGGGCGTCTCAAACACCGTGCGGTACAATTGCTATTTTGAACTTTTGTTGTCTTCGCGGCCCACCGTCTAAACGTTGACTTTCAAAACAATACTCGTCACAACAACAACAACACTGTTTTAATAACATTTGCACGCGGAAATGCAACAACAAAACCAAAACCACAAATCGCATCAACAACAAACCTCAACTATTTGCAAAACCAAAACCCTGAATGATTGTTTGGAAAAAAAAACCTTGCAACCATCAACGCCATCGTAAACGTTGCAACCGAAAATCAAACGACAATAATACCAAACACAACCACCACAATATACATATATTGAAATCGAACCGTTGGCTAAAACTTAACAACTACAAAACCAACAACCAAACACATGCTAACAACATTCGCCCATGCAACACAATGTCTCATCAAACCATAGATTCGGAGAGGTTAATTGAAGAAACAGCATTTTCGGGTGTGATCCTCCCGTCACCCGAATGGAAGACGCTGGATCACATTGGCAAGAANCAATAACATTTGCACGCGGAAATGCAAAAACAAAACCAAAACCACAAACCGCATCAACAACAAACCTCAACTATTTGCAAAACCAAAACCCTGAATGATTGTTTGGAAAAAAATCCTTGCAACCATCAACGCCATCGTAAACGTTGCAACCGAAAATCAAACGACAATAACACCAAACACAACCACCACAATATACATATATTGAAATCGAACCGTTGGCTAAAACTTAACAACTACAAAACCAACAACCAAAAACATGCTAACAACATTCGCCCATGCAACACAATGTCTCATCAAATCATAGATTCGGAGAGGTTAATTGAAGAAACAGCATTTTCGGGCGTGATCCTCCCGTCACCCGAATGGAAGACGCTGGATCACATTGGCAAGAATGCTCGCATTACATATCGGGTCAGAGTGCAATGTGCCGTTACGTACTACAACACGACATGTACGACTTTCTGTCGACCGCGCGACGATCAATTCGGTCACTACACCTGCGGTGCGGAGGGGCAGAAACTTTGCCTACCCGGTTGGCAGGGCGTAAATTGTGAGGAAGCCATTTGCCGGCCCGGCTGCGACCCCACACATGGCAAGTGTGAACAGCCTGGCGGTTGCGAGTAAGTATTAAATGAATTTTCACATTAATGCATTTATATGTATTTAGTTTGTTAAGCACTCTCAAGTACACGCTTGTATGCATGTATTTAGTGGTGCATATTCATTTGACCGGCATAGTAAAGTTTAAAACTTTAATGTACACAACAATATGACAAATTGTTAACTGTCAAACAGTTATTATTGCAAAATTTTGTGCAAACTCTCATTTGCGTTGGGTGTCGAAAGTGGATTATTTAGGTGATTGTGCTGCGTATACTGTTTCGCAAAGCTGTTGTGCGACTTCTGAGTGCTTACGCAAGTTTTTTTAAATGTATGAAAATATGTTTGTACATATGTTTTGCTGGTAACAAGTTTTTCACTTAAAATTGTTTGTACATATCGAGCCCTAACCGCCAAAGTAACGTAAGCGACATTTTTTTCAAAATTTNCTTCTGAGTGCTTACGCAAGTTTTTTTAAATGTATTTAAATATGTATGTACATATGTTTTGCTTGTAATAAGTTTTTCACTTAAATTGTTTGTACTTATGTATTTACATATATAATAAAATTGCACTAGAGAGGGAACATACAAATTTGTGGTTTACTGCCTTTACTTGCCCTCTACTTGCTGTAAAGCTTTAGATCAGCCCAACGCCGGCAGAACTCCATAAGTAAGTGCGCTCGTAGAATTCTATAGACAAGTGCCCTGCGCTGGGCACGGCTGCTTTAGATGTTGATTAATCAACAGTCAATTTATTTAATATGCTTACCACAGAAAGAGAGGTATAAAACGATGAAAAACTAAAATTTTTTGCCATAACTAATATTTTTTAACCGACTTCAAAAAAAGCATGGAGTTATCAGTTCGCGTTCTTATTTTTTTTATGTATTTTACCGCATAATTTTGGACCATGTGAATCGTTTTCGATTTTTTATCCGAAAGGGAGGTGCCATATAATCAGTTCCGATAATGGGATCATTAAAAACTAACCGTATNTATCAAAAATCAAATTAAAAAAAAAATGTCGCTTACGTTATTTTGGCGGTTAGGGCTCGATATGTACTTAAATACATAAATATATAGTAAAACTACACTAGAGAAGGAACATACAAATTTGTGGTTTACTGCCTTTACTTGCCCTCTACTTGCTGTAAAGCTTTAGATCAAGCATGCCCAACGCCGGCAGAATTCCATAAGTAAGTGCTCTGCGCTCGTAGAATTCTATAGACAAGTACCCTGCGCTGGGCACGGCTGCTTTAGATGTTGATTAATCAATTTTCTTACAAGGGAGAACAGTCAATTTATTTAATATGCTTACCACAGAAAGAGAGGTATAAAACAATGAAAAACTAAATTTTTTTGCTATAACTAATACTTTTTAACTGACTTCAAAATAAGGATGGAGTTATCAATTCGCCTTCTTATTTTATATTTATTTTTTATGTATTTTACCGCATAACTTTGGACCATGTGAATCGTTTTCGATTTTTTATCCGAAAGGGTGGTGCCATATAATCAGTTCCGATAATGGGATCATTAAAAACTAACCGTATTCGTAAGCATATAAACCAGCGATGGGCAGAAAGGGCTCTTACTCCGCACGTGCCCATACATAAATATATAATGTATAGAAGGCTTAAGAGAGCTTTGCCCTCGGGCAAGGCAGCGCTCATCTTGAATATAGCTTTTGACAACTTGAACCGAATACTATGAGACTTTTTTTATTGGAAAGGGAAATGAGCCTTCATTAATTTTATTTATTCAAGACGATTAGATCGCGACAAAATAGCGGCACACAACGAATTAGAGAATGTTTTTTGTAATCAAATCTTGCAATACATTTTTAAGCAATCTTTAAATAAAACCAAAAGTATGATAACGAACGTAACATATCGGACGTGCCAGATTTTTAGTCCATACAATATTTTTACTAATTATGCATATCGTCGTTTAAAGCACAAAACCGCGTATCGTAATTCTGCAGAACCGTGCAACTGACATTTGCTGCCAAAAATTGGATCTGCTCACACAAGCTCTTGGCTCAATCTTTATCAATTCCTAGTGAAATACACTTACCAATAATGCGATTGCTTTGTAAAAAAGAGAACCATTTTTGAACAAAATACAAACCCGTGTATCAAAATAATGCAAAACCGCGTATGCGAGATTGCATAAATTATTTTGTAGAGAGTAAAAAACTCTCATATTTCAATGTGGTTCTCTTTTTTATAAAGCAATTGCATTTCTCANTTTCTTTTCTCCATGCGTATAAGATTGATTTCATATATCTCCACACCAAGTTCAAGTACTCTACCATGAACATATCCAGAGATATTCGGTATGAAAAATTTCGGTTTCCACGCCCCCTCTATATAAGAAATTTAAGAAAGTTTAAGTTTGAAAATATTTTGAAGAGGGTTAAACAAATTATAAACCTCCTGTTTTTGAATTGAGTTTTCTTGAAATAAATTTTACTCAATATAGCACGCAAAAATTTCATACACTCAGCGAAGCGAGTGAGGGCGATCTAGTACTACATATAAATACGAAAGTGAGTTGGTCTTTTATGTTGACTAAATGGAATTATTTATTTTTAATTTGTATTACAGATCCACACTGAACGAAAGAGGCTTAAAAAGATTGTAGTTTGGAAAGGGTTACCACCTGTTTGAAAAATCAAATTTATATATGAACGTCATATGAAAGAATGTTAATAAATATTTTGTTTGAACATTTAGAATATTATTGAGGTTTTCTGCAAGGGTTTCCACCTGTTTAAGAATTGAATTTAATTAATTGAAATGGATTATTTGAAATCAGTGTATTAATCGAAATGGTTGTGAAAATACAGTTTTTTTTTTTCAAAAATAAGCGTAGGAGGGTTGTCACCTATTTGAAAAATAAAATTTTACTTAAACTAAGAGAATTGGTAATGGAATATCTTTCACACTTTGGGTGTCAGACGAAAGGATTTAATAAGGTTGCAGTTTTAAAAGAAAAATTTGGAGAGGGTTGCCAACTGTTTGAAAAGTCAAATTTAATGAAATGAGCCACAAGTTAAAGTGTCAAGTGTTTAGACAGCATTAGTTTAAACATATAGAATTTTCCTGGGTGTGTGAGGAGGGTTGCCAACTGTTTAATTAAAATAAATTTTTTAATAAGTTACGTGAATTATTACACTGGGGGTATACATCGAAATGGGCTTCAAAATCTTTATTTCTAAGGTACAAGAAGCAGAGTTGCCACCTCAAGCTCAACTTGAATTATAGGAATTAGGTTATTCAAAAACATACATGCATATATTTGATAAGTTAAGTTCAAGGTATTTAATAATTTGAATGAATTATTACAATACTGGTATCGATCAAAAGCTTTTGAAAAGGCTGCTTTTCTGAACTACTTGTAGGAGGGTTGCCACCTCTTTAAAGGGGATAAGCCAATTAAAAGTTTTAAGTAATTTTACGTTTGAAAATATTTTGAAGGTGGTTAAAAAAAATTAAAATGTTATTTGTCTTTGGCTGAGTTTAAACATGTTGAGCTTTATTGAAACAAACCTAATTAGGCACGCAGATGTTTCGTGTGTACACTCTACCTATAGAAATTAAACAAACTGTACTTTCACTTAGGCGCGGTCGCACTTTTATCTTTATGCTCTTACCAAAATTCCCACATAAAATCTCTTAAAAATTCAGCACTACGGTTGTACCGTTTCTAACAAAGTCGGTTTTCAAAAAACAAAATTACTACATTTTGAAACTCTACTACAATAAAGGTCACAAGAGCCGTTTCAAAAATTCTGATCCAAGAGAGAGGATGATTCATAATCGGCGCCAAAACGAAGATTGACTATAGGTCCATTTCTAGTTTTTCTCCGGAAGTTCTCTCTCAGCGGATTTAGCTATTTAGATTCTCTCGAGAGTTTACCTTTAAATATAAACTCTTAGGGCACTTCTAAGGGCTACAACACAAGGCCGCATAGTTATTCATATGTACGCCTTGTTGGACTTATATTTTACGTGTCTTTGAAAATCCAAACAATCTGCAATAAAAGTCACCAAAATTTTAATACAAAAAATATTCCACCAGAAAGGCAACCCTAATCTGCACTCAGTTTTTACATCCTTTAAGCATATGCTAAAAATTATTGTAAATAAAAACAAGTAAGAAAGTCTAAGTTCGGGCGGAGCCGAACATTAAATACCCGGCGCAAGTATTAAATATATGTTTTCCACCTTTCCGAAAGCTACCGCTACATGATAAGCGGGTGTATAAATATTAAGTAAACTAGCATCCTTAAATTTCGAAATATTGAAATTTCAAGCATTTCTAAAATTTACCGTTATATGAAAAGCGGCCGTAATTTTAGTCCGATTTCAATAATTTTCAACGGTTTGCTTTTATGTGGCAAGCACAATAATTATACCGAGTTTGGTACAAATTGCTAGAACTGTTACCGATATACATAAATGTGATCATAATTGGGCGGTGCCACGCCCATTTTCCAAAATTTTATCATAAGCGTATTTCCGATAAAGAATTGTTGCAACTGATTTATCGAGGATTTCGTATTTCTCGAAATTACCGTTATATGGGATGTGGGCGTGGTTATTGTCCGATTTTAAACCTTTTCGGCGATTTTGTATGCTGTACCAAGGTCAACAACTGTGCCAAGTTTGGAAGAAATTGGTGCAGCGGTTTCCAAAATATACACATGTAACTATAAGTGGGCGTGGCTACGCCCATTTTTCAAAAATTTTTAATATTCTTATTTCTCGTCTAAAAGTTATTCTAAATGTCAATTTTGAGTGAATTATCTTCAGTAGTTACTAAAATATCGCAGTTTTCGTATTTCTGAAAATTACCGTTATATGGGAGGTAGGCGTGGTTATTGTCCGATTTCGCCCATTTTCAATACCATCCGTCCCACACCCAATAGAAGTTCATGTACGAAGTTTCGTTAAGATATCTCAATTTTTGCTCGAGTTATCGTGTGCACAGACGGACGGACAGACAGACAG